CCTACGCCGACGGCCAGAGGCCCGCGCATCTACATTTTTTCGCCTGACCCCATCAGTGCCGACCCAACTACACCACCACGCGCATGCCTCGCGGCGGATATGCGCAGCAGCAAGAAGGTTTCGGTCATCCCTTGAGGGTGAATCTAGCCCTGCTCGCCAGAAAGACCCCCCCCTTCACTACAACCCATGTCTAAGCAAAAGCTTGTCGAGGAGCGAGGGGAAGAAGGGAGAAGTAGGTGGGGCATGAAAATAAATGAAAATGGAGAAAAAAGCCCTGGTGTTTACCCCCTCCTCTGTGACCCTGGATGGTTGTAGTTGTACGAAAAAATACACTGAGTACTCTTGTATGTAGCGTCTCCTCGGGCTGTGTCTCTCGCTAGAAAGAGTCGGACGCAAATACTTTTGCTCGAGCGCCCACGAGGCACGATTCATGATAAGGGGGTAAGAAGGAAATCATTGCTTCCAATCGGGCCAATGACAGCACACGCTACCGCACGCACACGAACGTTTTACGCACACGCACAGGTTTATGCGTGTACACACGCGCGCCGCGGCCGGTCTGAAAACAAATCTGGGGGAGTAGACTGTACATACAGCAGTACACCGCGCTTCTCGAACCTTGCCGAAGTCGGTCTGTGTGAAGTGGGCAAAGAGAAAACTGAGCTGCCCTTGCAGATGTGACAGCTGGACGTAGGTGATGAGGGCGCTCCAACGAATTATTCTTGGCGCTCTGCTGGCAGGGTTGGGACTGGCGGTGACAGAGGAAATCACAGACAGTGGGCAGTGCACCTACCAGGTGATATTCTCATAATCATCGAGAGGGTCAGACGGTGTGTCCTCCTTGCCACAACCTGTCATTGTTTCGTTGTGGGGTTCATGTGAGACATGGCAGCCCTCATACACCTACGCTCCATATTCTCTGGTAGCGTCTTTCGTGTATGCAGACTGATCTTGTAGGAGAACATTCTACAAGCTCGTGCAATGCCGACCAAGGCGAAATTTGCGACCATCCATTGCAGCCGCGTGCATCAGTGGAAACAGGGTGCCTGTGGCTGCATCAGGTATTGTTCATTTGATATAGGGTCTACAGTTTTAACGCCGGGTTGTTCCCAAAGATGTGTGCTCTATTGTAGCGAACATGTTCCGACTTGCCTGTCGGTGTGGCTACTGCTACGGGACGCAACTTCCCCTTCTCTCCGTGCCCGGCCCATCCGGTGCGTTCCCGGTACGACGCAATCACGTTTTTTCTCTATTGTGCAGTTTCGAGCCAACAGAACCTTGTTCGCCTTGGAGACGACAACCTGTAAGTGGATCCTTGCGCAAAAGTTGCTTGCACTACTCAAAGTTCCGATATTACTGTGTACCACTGTGTTCTCTTGTTTTCCGAAGCGCGTAAGTTCTCCAAACCCTATGGTCTTGCCGCTCCAATTGAAGAGATCCAACCGGACTGCGTGTCTTTACCTGGCCGAGCAAAGCTACTCTACCATACTAAACAAGAGTAGACTGCCGGTAGAGTTGCAGAGATTGCGTATCCATTTTACGTGCGGACGCGTTGCATATTGTAGTCTGTGGAGTTTCGAAGACTGTACTGAAGTTGCCTAGCGTTTTGTTCCGTCTTTGTCAGCAGCATGCTGCAGCCCATCACACCCGAAACATGACGACGGCTGCTCTCCCTTGCGCACGGTCCGGTATTTGTGTGTGGCCTCGTCTCCGAAGTGGTCGACTATCACGGCGTCATCCTCGCCCCTGGACACGTGCTTGCTGCATATTTTACGGATATTCCTTATCCTAACCGAGGAGCCAACATTACCGGGTGAGGTTCTTGGATTGTATTCAACACCGTACATCACGGAAGCGACGTGAGCCCACCCTTTTGTATGTTCCAGAAGCAGCTCGGAACTGCAGCACAATTTTTTGCTATTTGTACCCATGTGTCGTGATTGAGGAGTAGTCCGTACAGTTCAGGATATTCGCATTGGTGTCTCGCCTCAGTAGACGAGAATATTTGGGGAGATATAGTATCATGCCCTCTACGATACACGTTGGCAGGGGGCATGTCGCTGTTTTCCTGTTTCGAATTGATACACCCGTGCACAGCAAATCGCCGTGCGTTAAACGTATCATAACTCGGAAATTAACGCTGGTCACCAATCACGCCGCCCCGTTCTCCTGTCCGTAAACACCAGGGCGTCGCTGTTCGTGATACCAACTTTCCGTACCAGTCCAAGCACGTTGCTCGAAGCAGCTGTAGCAATCGGTCGAAGCAATACCACATCAAAGTTGGATAGCGTTGGTGCTGGCTCCGTTAGCGCATCGCCCGAAGACAGTGACGATGTTCCTCGAAATGCCTCTTCTTGGAGTCACAAGGAACCGTGAATGGCTGGAGTCTTTCGGATACCCAGTATTCAGAGGGACGAAGCTTGGAGTGGGAAGCCTGCCGCTACTATGAAGTCGGAATATTCGCGAGGGTGTTGAAACGGTCATCTCTCACCCAGCACTCGGTGAGGAGGGGATGATATTAAACCCCTTCTTCGACGATCATGCGGAAGGTTGGAATGCGGATGCCTCGGAACTATGCAGATCCACCCTGAACCCGTCCGTCTCAGAGTCTCTGTCACGGCTAGCGAGTGGCTAAGAAATTCGTT